AACGAGTGCCCTCAAACATTTCACAATGACGTGTTGAAATATTTAAGAATGCCCTCTTGAAATTAGATCCGCACTTTGCGTCAAATTGTTGCCAAGAGGCTTGGTTTCTTAATGCATAGCCTTTGTGCATTGAAACTTGAGTCCATGAAAGTCCGCAATAAATTTTTTTGAACTATGGTCCCGTGACTAAAAATTATGAATCTGAAATATTGCTGCATTAAGGACATTTATTTTTTACCCCTTAGAGAATGGAAATTGCCCGAACCTCCCTATGAGGTTTCTATCGTAGGAAAGACGCCTGGTGGACGCCGATTACAACCGTCTGAGAACACCTGTGTGGCTTGAAGATAATTAAGTCCTGAAGATTCCACTTCTCAAAGCGGAAACAAAGTACAATCGGTCAAGAAATTTGAGCTTTATTCTCTTACTATTTTAATCCAAAAAAAAAACCTTTTTGACTGAACTCAGTTACCAACAATTGAGCGATGAGTTGCCACCAATCATTTATCCAAAGTTAACCTCATGATTCCATCCTTGCCGAAACTTACATGAACGCTCTAAATCTCTTTTCTTGTTTTCTTAAAAGTCCTAATAAGTGTGGTGTAGTTTTTTGGGAAAATATATTTTAGTTTTCGAGAAATGAGTTTTTTCGTTTGACCGCTCAAATATGCAAATTTTCACCGTGAATATTACCCGAGTTGTGTGACATCATGTAACGAATAACTTGACCTCCGGTATTTCTGTCGACATAATCCTTTGTTTTATTATCTAAACTTAATCCCCTGTCTTTACCGGAGCTGGCAAAGTAATATTTATTTTTTGGTAAATATTTTTGTCGGACGTACTTTTCCTATGTCGAAAAGTAACATCAAAAGAAAGACAGTTTTAACAATGACCGATATGACAGAATCTATTGAGTCTCGAGCTTTTAAAAAGACAAAAGGATGGTTAAAAGTTACTGTAAAAATTTCCTTGTGCATTTGTGTTGTTCTATCTTGAGACGAGCTCAAAGTCCGGCAAAATTTACTTGCTAGCGACTATGAAATATACATTGTGTGCCTACGTATCGCCACCGTTTACTGGCATAAATCACTACAATTTGTAGAAAAGTCTAACATAATACTCTTACCTTGTTTATTTATGATTTTATTAGCAGTTTCGATCGTAATATAACGCCCGAATATTACTTTTTGACAGGAGCCCAGGTTTTGCGTTGTGTTTTCCCCTCCCCCATTTGCATCATTAGCTAGTCACGCAATAATTTATACTGACACAAATGCATATTTACCCTCTTTAGCGATGTTTGTTTCATCGAAAATATTAGAATATATGCCTTTTTTGGCCACAAATTGATGTTTCAGTGGCAGTGAAGCAGTTAAAAGCGGGTTTTTGCTTCAACGCTATTGAAATTCATAGTATTTACTATTTAGAAAGAAGAGCAAGGCATGATGCTCTGGGAATAGAAACTTTTAGGGACTTTCTACATGATATCGGAATGAATTTTGTTCAAGAACGAGTTCATACCGGTTGCCACATGATACCAGAGTAATGTTTAGTCGAAACGAGTCATTTCTGAATGAGTTTATTGTGGTTTCATTCCAGAACGAAACACTCATTCTTGTACCTGTATGGCGTTCAGTAGCTTGTGCGGAAGGGCCCTTACCACCGCGTGCAAATTGCGCGTCCCGCCAAACGGCGGGAAGCCAATAAAGTGTTCAGACATTAGTGTAGAAAACTTCGCCTCTATCTAGATCTTTGGTAGCCTATTGACCAATTCCCAATCGAGACTTAAGTCTGAGGGGACGTGTAATTTTGCTCACGTGGTAAGTAGCCTACTTACCGGCGCCAGGCTGTATAAATTTTCCAAACATTTTGAATACAACCTGTGAATCGAATTAACCTTACCATTGCAATAGCCGGATACCTCTTTAGGCACTCTACGTTCTTCATCTACTATTGGAACCACAGCTCTACCCAACATCTATGTGTGGGGAAAATTGTAAAATCATCGATATCTGTTAGCGTCTCGAAGATACCGGCAAGCGACAAAATAAGATCAACTTCATTTTCTGGATCTGAAAACTTGCAACTCCGCAAGTGACTTGAATTATCTTTTTTTTACAACTATGCAAGGGAACGACTTGAGATATGCAACTTCAGTCTCGATAACTAAACCCACAAGTTCCAACCGTGAACGATTTAAATGAACAGCAAATCTCCATGTTAACATGTAGGATGAGACGCTTACACAACAGATAATTACCTAAATCAGTGTATAGCTTGTCAATAAAATTGACTTTGACTACGGCCGGCAAAGGAATCATTTATGGATCTTTAGTTTTCTAAATGCAGTAGTTCCTGAAAGGTTTTTCTAGATATCATGCAAAGAGGAGAAAAACCCAGCTCTTGGTATTTCGGAGATTGAAACATCTTTAAATTTGTGTCACGCTTGTGAAGTAAACTGATGAAATAAGATGGAGAACATATAAAACCTGGAACTCAAATCTGGCTAGAATGTGGTAGAGCATAACGTGATCATCGAAAAAGTACATAAAATCATAAATAAACAAGGTAAGAGTATTATATTAGATTTTTTTACAAATTGTAGTGATTTATGCCAGTAAACGGTGGCGACAAGTAGGCACACCATGTGTATTTCATAGTCGCTAGCAAGTAAATTTTGCCGGACTTTGAGTTCGTCTCAAGATAGAACAACACAAATACACAAGGAAATTTTTACGGTAACTTTTTAACCATCCTTTAGTCTTTTAAAAGCTCGAGGCTCAGTAGATTCTGTCGTATCAGTTGTTAAAACTGATATGACTGATTGTTAAAACTGTCTTTGTTTTGATGCTACCATTCGACATAGGAAAAGTATGTCGGACAAAAATATTCACCAAAAAATGAATATTACTTTGCCAGCTTCAATCATGACAGAGGATTAAGTTAAGATGACAAAACAAAGGATTATGTTGAAAAAAATATCGGAGGTCAAGTATGTTCGTTACATGAGGTCACACAACTCGGGTAATATTCACGGTGAAAATTTTCATATTTGAGCAGTCGAAAGAAAAAAATCATTTCTCGAAAACTAAAATATATTTTCCCAAAAAAACTACACCACACTTATTAAGACATGTTGGGCTGCAAAATATAAAAGTGGGAGTGAAAGCAATTTTTGGGTGACTTGCCGCTGTTTGTTTGATGCATTCTGACATTAACTCTTAAAACAAATAGCCCTCTATGAATGGCAATCAAAAATGATATTTGGAAACTACATCCTAAAATTGATGGTCTGGTCTGTAGCAAAACAGTCGTAGTTAGTAATTACAATTCGAATTTAAGGTTCTACGGGGATGCAAACAAACTTACGAAATTGCAGAAATTTTTACACTGCACGAAAAATTGGATTTAAACAGATTTGCAACTGAAGTAAATATGATGCAAATTTAGGCCTCAGATTTGACCTAAATTCGCAATGAAAGCAATGATGATGCAAATACAGATATTTATTCCCGTTGTATTTGCGCGCAAATGTGAAGTAAATATGATATCTACTTTACCTTTGCTTTGTTTTTGATACCTCCGCAAATCAGCAAATTTGACTTACATTTATACAGATTTGCTCTATTTGCAAAGTATTAAGTTTGCTTACAGCACAAAATGTAGGCAAATACGGTGTAAATCCATTTGTTTGCATCATTGTTTTGCAAATGTTGTCGAGGCTTCAAACAAAAACATTTGCGCGTGTTTTACTCATGTTTTACTACAGGAGCAAATATGCTCATATACACTAAATTTGTATTACAATCAAACCAACAAATTTGCGCTTGTAATCTCACGTTTGCAATCTATGCAAATATGGTCATCTTCGATGAATTTACAACCGTTATTCTCGTATTTATACGTCCTTTTTGAAATTATCTCATTACCGTTTCAATCCAAAACATTAACAAATCATATATTATCGATTACAAACTGTGGTTCGTTCACAAAACTACTCAAAACCTCGCAAAGGGTCGACACCCACCGGAATAAAAAGAAATACCGACTTTTCACTAACTGAAAAGCGATTTTCGCTGACCCCGCGGGATGAGTATTGTGACCGTGAATCAACAAAAATAAAGATGCTTTACATGTAATTTTGAAACAAAATTGCCTTTTCGATGCAAAAAATCCTAATAAAACTCATGCAGTAACCTGAAGGTAAAATTCCCTGACTTTTCACTGACTTTGAAGTGATGTGCAAGAAATTTTCTAATAACGCGTGCAACAAGAAATCTTGCAAAGAGTAAGAGCAACATCCTACTTTAAATGGCAGCCTTGTCGTAAGGATTACCTCGCAACCAGATTCTCCCGAATTTTCTGCTAATATTGGTTAATTCGGTTAACAACGTCAGTGTTACGTCATGCATTTCAGCGAATGATTGTCAATTTCTGTTGAGCGATACGTATTGAATTACGCATTCAAATTTTGAGCGCCACTTTCCTGCCGTTTTTCAGTTCGGTTGCGGAATATTTTACGCAGGAGAAAAAACACGCGTTTTTCTCTTGGTTGATTCGTAGATATGGCTAGAAAAACCCCAAACCAAGCGAGTAGACGAAGAGTAAACGAAACGCATAACTTGAGGGATTTAAATGGTAACCCAACAAGATTGTCTGCATCTATGATCAGTACGCCTCGGGCTAAGCAATCCTAAACGCGGCCATCATCTTCTAGCGTAAACACAACGACAGTCACTGCGAGGAACACCAGATTGTCAACGAATTTGGACACCACTCTCTCTTTCAGTGATAGCTCGAACGAGGACTCGTCCTTAACATCAGCGAGTAGCTCAAGTACGCCGATAGTGCCTACGAGATCTAGAGGGGAAAACGATAGCACGAGAATTAATCGTGTTCTCGTGCCGTTGTTGCAGTTAGCCGATGGCAGTGAAAGGCCAAATGACGGAGCGGGTGAAAGTTTACTGGCAGTAGTTCTGCAGCAGTTAAATAAGTTCATGGCAAGACAAGAACGATTTAATGAACGCCTCGAACAGAGGATTGTGGCTTTCGAAGCACAAAGCCAAAATGGGCGGGAAAAGAAGGCGTCTAGGCGCCTGCCTAAGGCGCTTACGGTAAGAATTAGTGTATTTTTTAGCTTATTGTTTACAAGTTCCGGGACTAAATAGTTGTTTTAAAATGATCTTACTGCTAGCTTCGCGATCAGAAACGCGGAAAACCCTAGCTTATTCTAGTTCTCTTACCATCCTTCTCGAAGACCTTTCGAAGAGCAAAGCCAAAATGGGTGGGAAAAGAAGGCGCCTGCCCATGGCGCTTACGGTATGCATTAATGTATTTTTTTTAAGCACATTGTTTACAAGTTCCGGGACTAAATAGTTGTTTTAAGATGATCTAACTGCTAGCTACTCGATCAGAAATGCGAAAAACCCTAGTTTATCCTAGTTCTTATAACATCCTTTTAACCAGCTTTAATGTTATGCCCAGTTGGTGGTTCCATATGATATATATATTTTTATACATATATTTTGGATTCCACAGGCCAATGTTAGGGAAGTTTACCAAAGCCTTGTTGGCCGAGATGATGGCAGGGAGATCCAGTGGGACTTTTCAAAAAGGTATGTATACACTGTATGCGTTTATCTCACTAATTGAAAATAAGTTAGGTAAGGGGCGGACCATCATATTTTTAGGGGGAGGGGGGGTCGCACAATTTTTCTGAATTGTTGTTTCAACTTCAGGTTGCGTGGGGAAAGAAATGGCGGTAACAAGATATTACATAATTATTACGAGAAAGTGATTTGGTATATACACTTCATTGTGGTGTAAAATTTTGCAGAGAAAACTTTTCAGGGAACTTTTTGGGATCATGAAAAACAAGCAAAAGAGTTAAGTGCCACATGGTACATTTATTTCACACAAAGAAAGTTATTGTGCAATTAAAAACAAGAGAACAAACAATGAAAGGTAACCATACTCACTTAAGAAAAAATGATGACTTGCCTCTGGTACATAAAGTAAAAGACCATTTTTAATGTGTGTGCTATTAACACTGAAACTGTACACGGTAAGGATGCACCATGCAGTTTCTGGTGTTATTGATATTGTTTTTTCTATCAGAGAAGCCACAGATAAATGCACAACAGCTGGGTAAAATCCTTTGTCCCCCAGCCCTAATTTACAGCCCTGAAGGTCTAAAAGCTGCATACACTTTCTAATTTATGGTTTTGCACCTAATGTAACCGCCTCTCTTCCTGTGCAGAGCCCCAAGTGGAAGTGGTTACAGCTGGAATTTTAAACTATGCTTAAACAATTATATTTAATCTCCTAGCTTCAATGGACCTGAAAACAAGGTTGTAAATCAGCAAATTTTAGCTGTAGTGCAGAGTAATGACCACGAAACACCAGTTGTTACAATAAAAGGTAAATTCACCTTTTTTCTTCTTTCTTGTAAGATTAATGTATCAAATGTTTTGTAACAAGTGTTGTTGCTTTGGTTTGAGTCTTATCCTGACCACTACCTGGATTTGTTTCATGGTAGCCTTGAGTTCAAATCTTCGGCCATGCTTGTAAATAGCCAACTGATATATATGCCAATATATATATATTTAAATTTGAATTTTTCCTCGGTTTACAAATTTTTTTAATCAAACCAGTTTAATTTTTATTTCCATTATTGAGGTTAAAACGGTAAAAACGAACGATAAAATCCGACGTTTCGGAGTAGTCATGACTCCATTATCAAGGTAAAAGTTTAAAACATGCAAATAACAGTATTTAAGCGATGTGGCGCGAAAAATTAACATAATAGGTGCGAAGATTATACAAATACTTTCGCACGAATAGAGTCCGATTGCACGTTCAGGTTTGGCTTTAAAGTTCTTATATGAAGCATTTCGTACAATAAGCAGTCAAATTTGTTCCTGCACTTCTTAAGAACTTCGAAGCATTTCAGTAGGTCCTGAGGGATCGTCCCGCGTACTTTCTTGCAATGTTTGGCAATGGCTGAGGACTGTTGTTTATGTCCTTTTACACGATTGTGTAAATGTCCGCGTGTGTATCCTATATAACCTGCATCGCACAGGTCACATTGGTATTTATAAACAACACACTGTTCATTTACGATCGATGGCTTTGCTTCTTTCAGATTCAGTTCTTGATCAATTTTTAGGCTGACAAATACGGGCTGGATGTTGGTGTTCACTTTTAGGCTCAGATCCTTGAGTTGTCCTTTCACAAAATTTGCTGAGGTTTGGTCTTTAAATGGTAGAACCACTCAATTGTGTCATCCGTCTCTTTAGTTGGTAATAATAGTCGCTGCTGGTCACAAACCTTTGAGTCAACGAAATTTTTGGTGGCAGAGTCGATGAGGTGTTTGGGGTACTTTTATGATCTTTTAGGAAATCTCTTTTAATTATTGAGGTTGATTACCATAATCTAGAATCTGAGACAAAGGAGAATGAAAATCAAAATAATTTAAATATTTTAAAACCAAATAAACATTAAAACCACAGCATAATTGCTTACATGTACCCACTGGATTGGTTAAGAGGATAATAAACTGCACCCACAGTCCTTCCTCTTCCGATTTTGGTTGTAAACAGTTTATTGCACTCACATGCAGTTTTTAGATACACAAGTATTATATCAAAATGTTTAGTAATTAAGAGGTTTTATTTTAAGAAGGTAACACAACAGTATATGAGAATACTGACAAACTTGTGGCCTTCTGAAAAGTAAAAGTACAATTTAAATCAAAAACATAAACCTAATAATAAGTGTTAAAATGGTTAAAAATTTGAAGCAAATTACCCTTTACCATGTTTCAACAAGACAACATTACTCTTTTTTAGCTGCTATGCGGTTCCATTTCCGAACTAAGAGACGACAAGAGGTAAACAAATCAAGAAATGCAGCTCAGGACGTATTAAAGCAACAGAGAGCCCGAAGCCGTCTAAATACGGTAAATAATATTCAAAATTCAAGCTGTTTTGAGTTTTTCTGCTGTTGAACACCATAGCAATGCTTTAAACAAGACCCAGTATCTGTAAGAGCTCTGCTAGGTAGAATCAATAAGCTAATTTCAACCCAAACCTTGTCTATTTGTGACTTTCATATTTAGTGTAATTGTGAGCAATTTTGTTTAATTTATTTTAATACAGAAAAGAACTAGAGAGTGAAAGCTCTCAACCTTTCTACATCTTTGGCTGCGGAAGACAAAGATCAGTACATGAAGTTCATGACCATAGACTATATGTCATCGGAACATTCTATGTCAGAATCTGAGGAGGGCGAGTCGAACAGTGAGCATGGCTATGAAAGCTCAGACTCAGAGAGGCCAAAGAAGAAAGGTTTTTGTGTAAGTTCACTTCAGTGGCGGAGTCCTGCACTAACTCAGGTCATGCACAGTCTTGACCGAAAGTCAACAAGCAGAAGGAGTGCAAAAGGTGCTAATATGTTAGTGGAAAGGCGTCGTACAGGCATAATCTCGAGCCGCCTTGCTCCTGATGATGCTGATCCCTTTGCACTGGCATAATTGGTACTTTCTGCCCTCCTTTTGTACATGTAACCTTATTTCTAAGGGGGTGATTACATAGCGACTTTCAGCTTAGTTAGAAGGGGCTGAGATTTTGGATGCCCAGGATGCGAGGATGAAAAAGCTCCAAAAAGCCCATGTAATTGTAATGGAATTTCAGCCCAGGCTGAAATGGGACCTTGGACATATGTAGTGATTGTTTTTTTCAATGTAACGAAATCACTGAAGCTGGTAGTTGCAAAGGAGAAAAGATTTACATTTGGTCATGTAATCACAACAAAATTCCAGCCCCCTAATCACGCTGAAATTTCTCATGTAAATCACCTCCTTATTCATTGGTATTTTTTCTGCATTTTTGGCTAAGGAAACAAAATTAACTTAAAAGGAAGTAATTTTGGAGAAAGGAGAATGAAATGTTAATTATTTGGCCTTGATATAGAAGACTTTTGCAATTTATGATCAAGCAATACACATGTACAAATAATTGTTTTATCCCTGTACTGAAATACATGTACAGGAACTCAGGTTTTGAAATGAAAATTCAGTTCAATGAAGGGTGCTGTTTCTATGTGGTAGCAACTTAGTCTTCAAATATTTTCCTAAAAGCTACATGTATGTCTAAATGATTGAATGCTGTCATTTCTTGTTATGTGTGACAGCTTCATCTAAAAGCTAAGTGAAGCTGTTCTACTGTCCTTAATTTTTCAAATTTACATTGAACTGACTCATGAATCGCAAAATGGGAGAATTACATCAGCCATGCTATGACTTATCTTATCTAGTACAAAATTTTTGAAGATCAGTTAACAAATTGAAAGCATTTAATGTTTTAGGTATTTTTACGTAGGCTTACTGTTTCAAATTGTGTAACTTAATTTTTACCATGTAACAATATTTGAATAGTATTTGAAGATATTTATAATATTTATTGATTCCTTGGTGATGACCTGTTGACAAATCAAGAGCATCAGGTGTTTCAGGCATTCTTAATAAGCTGTTTACAATGTGCCAATATTTGACTTGTATTTCAAGATATTTATAATATTTATTAATTCCAAGGTGATCAGAGACAGACCAATTAACAAATCAAAAGCATTATATGTAGGTGTAGGCATTCTTGATTATGATTCGTTTCAAGTTCAAGTTTCAAGTTTTATTTGTTCACATCAGATGGTTTTTTACTAGGCTGGCTTGCAAATAGTGAAGAGCTAATCGTGGCAAGCCAGACTGCAGACAAATAATTTTACACAATATTATACAATAAATATTCACATACAATTACAACATGTAGACATTAATCTTCATGCTTACAAACATCTAGGTATTAGGATAATATGTAAATAGGAAAACTACAGACTAAACATAATTACAGTCAGTAATTAATCTTTCATCTTATTAATTAGAGTATCTATGTCGACATAGGAGTTTTCAGTTACTATTTACATGCTATTCGTTACTATTTACGATTCTATATGCGATTAGTTACTATTTACATACTTTAGCACTTCTTCAAATTTTTACAAGTGCAAGCTGTTTACCATGTAACAATATGACTTGGATCTAATTTTATTTTATAATGTAGTAAATATTTGCATAGTGCTGGACATACTTGCATTTTGTTTCGTTTCTTATTTCTCTCTGTCCGTTGAGCAGATATATGTTAACGTTTACTTCTGCCTTAATGAGCAAAACTGTTCATAGAGTAGAGTACATTTAGGTTAATGACGCTGCAAATGTGACAATTTTTTTTTTGTCATCTAACGTGTTCAAGTTCTTTTTATCCTTACATTACTTAAATTTATGATGTAGGTTGCGCCCAAATTATACCACTTGAGAATTTCTCGCGTTTATTCCAACCCCTTCGTCACCACAATATGGTATGGTATTATATAGTTTGTTTAAAAATGAGAGACATGACAAGTCTTAAAGTTATTAATGACCATCAGTTGAATACAAAACTTGTCTACTAATGAAGACTCGCTTTCATGTTTTTCTAATTTGCTTGTTCTTTTTTTTTTACCCGGCAGTTCAATCTTTTTAACATCGTCTTAGTGTGAGATGGGACCGAACAATAGAAGGGAAATTTTGAACAAAATTATATTTCAATTGACTAAATTTAGTTAGAATTGTGAGATTATAATAACTTCTGGTCCTAAAGAATCTTCAGTGGCGTATCCAGACCTTTAGCTAAAGGGGAGGCGTGGTTTTTTGTTGCTTGCCCCACCGGCTTTTCATCCTTCTGCGATTCTTCTTCTTTTTTTACCCAAAACAAAAGGGGGGCCTGGGCCCCCCGGACCCTTCCCCTAAATCTGCTACTGATCTTTTATTTGAATTTGAATTTTAGACCATGCACAGGTGGTCTAAATGCTAAAAAAGGAGCTTTTCTGTGCAATCTTTACATCTTTGTGTTGTTGTTTTTACTGCTAAGAACTACAGAAATTCGAAAAAATGTAATAATAGAATTGTGAAATTATTTCGAAAAAAGCGTCTGGGACGTGGTGTTCGTCTTAGTCTAGTGACTCGAAGTTTGAGGCATACTCATTTAGCGTCACTCTTAGGGTCCTGCTCAAAATTCGAGATGTTACAGATGTTAATTCACTTGATGCCCAATAGCCTTTCCAAGTTCGTTCTGGTGTGCTGATTAATGGATAATTTTATGTTTGGCGAGTAACCGATTATAATGAGTTATATTTGAGATTATGTTGAGACATATTTTAAGTTATATCACGTTGAATTTCTTTCCAACTAATTAGAATGATGAATTAATTTAACATCGTCTTAGTGTGACATGGGACCAAACAATAGAAGGGAAACTTTGAACAAAATTTTATTTGAAATGACTGCGTTAAGTAGAATTGTGAGATCCTAATAGCTTCTAGTCCTAGTTTTTTTTTTTTACCCAAAATAAGAGGGGGCCCGGGCCCCTCCCCTAGATCAGTCACTGATCTTTTATTTGAATTTGAATTTTAGACCATGCACATGTGGTCTAAATGCTAAAATTCCAAACGAGCTTTTCTTGACAATCTTTATATCTTTATTTTGCTTTTACTGCTAAGAACTACAGAAATTTGAAAAAAATGTAATAGTAGAATTGTGAAATTATTTCGAAAAAAGCTTCTGGGACGTGGTGTTTGTCTCAGTTTAGTGACTCGAAGTTTGAAGCGTACTCATTTAGCGTCCCTCTCAAGGTCTTGCTCACAGTTCGAGATGTTACAGATGTTTATTCACTTGATGCAATTCACTTGGTGGTTTGGGCCAGGTTACCTAAGTGCAAGAGTCACTTTTTTTTAATCCTTAACATTAGTGGAGATGTCAGGTATGTTAATTTTGATAAAAGGTAATGACTTCTTAGCCTAGAATAATGTCACTCGCATTTTACCGGTAAGGCTCAAAGTAAAGCTTAAAAGACAATCTCTGGTCATAGAATGCCAAACGATTGGCAATTCATCTCTATGATAACGATAACCGTAACGTATTAAAGAAAAGGTGTTCGGTGTGCGGTGTGCGGTGTGCGGTGGAAACACGTTTATTGCTGTTTTTTACTGTATATTGTTTGTTCGATCGTTGTTGTTGTTGTTAATTAGAGTAACGCCATCATGTGCACTCACATTCGTGGTGTACGAAAACGTTATTTACTTACTTTTGCCAAACAGATGACATCGACAAGATAAACAATGGAATCCGGCCATGATTAGCGAATTAATGTACATCCCTTAGCATTAAAAAAAGGCAAAACTGCAAGAGATGCCTTTTGCAAGGTTTTTTAATTACTATTTACTTGTGAAAATTACTTTGCAATCACTTCAAGAAAGATGTTCAATTTTAAGTTAATTAAAAAAGATTAAGTTAATTTAGTTAATCGTAAAAAATTTCCCTTATTCTGGTTTCTCTGTTCCTTACGTTACGATCTTTTGAAATAACCTCCTCTATTTGTTACTGAATCGTTGTGATTTAAAGTTAAAACCTGTTTTTATCTGTTTTTACTTCACTGGCTTCTGGTCTCATGAATTTGCCCGAAATTTCCTTGTTGTTGTTGTTTTTTTCCTCTAGTTATTGATATCAAGTTCACCAAAAAAATGGTGAAAGCTACTCTTTCGCGGTTGCTATCAAGCGAATTTGCTTCAAGTCTTTCACATAATCTTAACTCAGATGAGTGTTAACGAGAACCTATTCTGGCCCATGGACTACACTGCCCTTAACATTTACTCTCGTGTTTGTGTTATGAAAGTCAGCTGAAAATAATCCGTGTAAAATAAATGTATCTTCAAAGAGATACACAGTATTTGTTAAATAATGAGATAACATACACGATGCCCTTCTATTTACACCACTCAAGAAGCTGAGCCACATAGTGACCCAGCTCATATCTTTGGGCTGAGGTTGAGGGGTGGGTTTTTATTCCCACGCCTGTAACGTAAGATAGTGCCTGCTTATATTCCATTGACTCACGCTAAAATAACCCTAGTTAATAATTACAGCAAAAACAGGATGAAAAAAAAGAAAAGAAAAAGAAAGAAAAAAACGAAAAAACAAATTAATATATAAATAAAAGGCTCGAAAACCGTACGCTTACGAGTTTGTGTCTTGCAGATTTTATATGAAGATAACTTTGAAGATCCTTCGGGGGAAACTCTCTTCGATGACAAAGGCTATCTGATGAGAATTATCATTCTAATGAAATAAATACCCGTTTGCCACCAAAGATAAAGTCTGCTTAGGATGTTTACTGTAGAGATGACAGGTTAACTACGCTACATGTTAAAAACCTTATACACATGTATCTACGGTTCGATATATGAATCCTCTTACTACGCGAAGTATATTTGCTTCATTTTTAGTCTGTACCACAGTAGCGTGAGTTACAATTAAGTTGGAAAAGTTTGTAGATGAAATAGGATCCACAGTTTTTACAGAAATATATGTTGTGTATGTGCAACCAGTAGATCGATCACTAAAGCAGACCGTCCTTCGAACTTTACCATCTTCCACTGTAGGATGAGTACCATTCAACCAGCCTGACCAGTCTGTACCACATCTGTACGCTGGCACACGCGTTGTTGGCATTTTTGTTCCTGCAGCTCCCACAAAACGATACCACCCCTCGAGAAATGAGCTGTCACAAAACGCAGGGTCAGGGTGCGATGTAGTGTAACTGCTCTTTCTATTGGCGTCACTCAGTATGTGATAATGATAGCAAGGATCGGCTTCAAAGTGAAATGACAATTGCAAAAAGATTGAAATATCAAAGATAACACTTTTTCTTTTAGAATTGTTTCCCAACAATTATGTAATAACATAAACTTCAATTTTCCATGGATTTACAAGTGCAATCAACGATTGCTTTTGACCAATCAGAGCACTCGTAGTATCTTGATTATATAGACTTGATGATAATAATTTTCAACTTCTTCACTCAAATATATCTTGAGCGTCAACGAAAACGTAGTGCCATGGAAAATCATTGACACATCCATCCTCTGCACAGGGTTCGAGCCAAACGAGCGATTTTATATTCATGCTTCTTTTAATCATTGTTATAAAGTGAAATTTAAAACAGAATAAAAATGCATCAGTCACCAAAATTGTTCATTTAAAAGTCAGGAACATTACCTAAGAGGTTCTTAGCATTAAGGTTACTTCCCACCTTCGCGGGCCCGGGTGTCCTTCAGGAAAAAATTCGTTCGCGGGCTAGTTTCACTAAAAACCTAGCAAACTATATATCAGGAGAAAGCATAAAAAATTTAATTTACGATGAAAACAGAATTTAAGCGACTTTCCTTTTAAGGAAGTGTCAGCAGCCGGTAAGGCGTGAAACGACTGAAGGTTCTTCTTTTGAATTTATCGGGTATGGGATGCCGCAGCACGAGCTAATTGGCTGCACAGTCTCATTCAGAAGGCATCAATCAACATAAGTATGTCAGGTTTCTTCGATATTCTGATTGATTGTCTGAATATCGGCATCTCGAGTTGGAGTAGCTAAAAATATACGAGTCGTGTTGCGTAAAGGGGGACAAATATTTCAAATATCAAATTTCCCGACACACTTTCGTTTGTCAATATTCCTAGGATGTTTTGGCGAAATTTGACAAAAATCGGTCAAATCTACATACCTTATAAATTCGCTCGAAGTGCACGTGGTTGTATTCCTCCCAAACTCAAATGCGAGAATTTAGCTCATAAGGGTTCGCAAACAACTTGCCCCACGCCAGGAGATTATCTCGCCTCATCCTAGTGTCACTGACTATGGATCAAGATTTCCCGGGAAAAGAAACCCATTGCAGACAGGTTTTTTTTTTATTTTTTTTTTTTATCTCGATCACTAAGTGGGGACGACACAATGATGAGCAAAGTTCCCAAAGTGTGCTGAGGAGCAAAACAACGAATCGACATACAGCTTTCAAAAATTGCGATTCGAGGCAAGTGTTAATGTTTTTGTATCAAGGCTGGTACTTGCAGAAAGAAAAAGGAGACTTCGTTTTAACATTATGTATGGTAAATTTTGGTTTGACAACGACTTCTTTGTTCAAAATCTGGACGCCAGCATGGAGCTCCGCCAGTACCAGTCGCTTTCACAAGGGAAGTTCTCTTTCTTTTCTTGACAGATTGGTACTCTCTCTTTTTTGACAGATTGCAGCTTTCACGAGTGAATTTTGTAAAGTGTTCGATGTAAGTAAAATATGGCAAGAACAGGAAATCGGGCCTCGACATGAGCAGTTGCCGCGAAAGTTCCCCCAGAGGATTCTCTCAGGTCCGAGATTATGATAACTTCCTTATTCATTAACTTCTATTAGAAAATATGTTTTTCTAAATAAAAGAAAAATCGAGTTTTTCGGCCTCTGAGGGTGGGAAGTAACCTTAAATTAAAACGAGCTATGGGTGATAAATGATCTAATTGTCCTGTAACGCGGCTGAATGGTGCGGTGCTGTAGTCCAACGTGTCATGCGGGACTGCTCTAAGCACAGAATACATGTAGCGAGGAAATTAAATTCACCTGTGCAGTTTCGTCCATTTCCAGTATATCCTGGGTGACATAATGACATTCTTATTATTCAATTGAAAATGACCGAAGTCTGGTCGAAACTTCGTGAGAAGCTATTTTGCCGTTAAAATGCACTCAAAGACTCTTGGCTTCTTAGTAGTGTAACTGCCCGAAATATATTATAAAAAATTAAATAAAGGTTTCTGATTTACAAAATAGAAACTGGAGATGGTGACGCTATCCACGGGAATAAGCATGGCTGTGCCAAATGATTCTGTCTGATGCTAGAGCTAATCTAACGTGGCGTGCAAATGCGGGCCTATTTTCTTTGTCGGAGAGGAGTAACGAGTGCAGTTATGAGAGCCATTAGTATTAGTGCACTTTGCATTCACATCACGAACATGGATTTTTCTCGCTGCGTTCATCGATATATGTAAACAAAAGTGTTCGTAATGATGATGGTCAAAGTGATGGTGACGAGGATGATGGTGGATGATGATGGCAATTTTTGGCAATGATGTTAACGATAACTTTCTTTGGTTTATTTCGTATTTCGTATTAACACAGTGTTAAACATGTTTCCTTTGCCTCCGATGCAAGTGCTTGTGCTTATTCCTGCATTTATTAACTACGTCAAAACTATAAATTCTGCTTTAATCTGTAGCTGAACTCAGTATCATGAGGAAACCTCGCATAGAGGTGAGCTAAAACAGTTAATGGAGAAACACATTCATGGTCATCTTGGGTGAGGAAAATTAACTGTACCTGAACATGAGTGTCCATCGCCAGTGTATCCAGCTTTACATGTGCATTTGTAAGAACTGTACGTATTAGTGCAGTTTGCATTCACATGGCAGTCACTGATGTTATATTTACATTCATCCATATCTAGAATTTAGAATGAAAGCAATGATTAAAGTAAAACGAAGTAAAAAAGGGTATCCACGCTAAAACTGATATTAAACAAACAAATCATAGTGATAACAATAAAAATAACATTACTATAATTTTGCGGTAAAATTAAGTTAACTCGTAAAAGAAAAAGACCTACCCCCGCTAGCCATATCACAGTTAATCAATATCGCCTTCCCTGTGCCTGTTGGATCCAGCCAGTACTTCCCGCTAATGGTTTTTACCTTCACTCGCCTTTTATTTCGAGACAGGATATCGCTGGTAATTCGGGGATAGAACCTAAAGGAGCTGCAGTAAAAATAGGAGTTATGTTTTATTCCTACTCTTATTTCTCAATTATAGGTGAGAGAAAAAAAGATTGGCAAAGTATGAAGAAAATCTAGAGAAACAAAAATCAGCGAGACACATAGACTTCTGACTTCTTACCTCTGCCGTTCAATCGCCTGATGTAAAACCACGAGGGGCTGAAAGGAGATTCTCTGGTCTCGCCTCCTTGGTGCGGTTATTTAGTTCACATATTTGGTATTTTCGATTGTAGTTATAACTTTGGCACGCGATCTCTTGTCCACATTTGACATCACAAAGGTGAGGAGCCGCCACTGACCATCTTCTAAAGACAGAGCGTTTGAGAGCCATTCCTTGTATGTTTACTTCTGTCCTGCATTGATCATTAGCTGTGACAAACTCCATGGTAGAAGCGAGGAAAAGGAATCTCAAATTTCGGAACAGCCAATACATACCTCTTCGCTTTTATTGAATTTGAAAATATCGAGGATCATTCCCCAAAAGATGTTATATTCCTGCCTAACGACAGTCTACCTTTAAAGGAAAAAAAAGGTGTCTTTCAAAAAAAAATTCAAGACATAACAATCATAGTATATGCAAATTTTGATTAAAATTTGTTGCTTGAAAATTCACCAAAAACAATCCATAATTGCTGTTAATAATCTTCATTTTTCGGGAAAGAAATAAGTCTAAGAATGTGCGTCTGTGCGTTTTCTTTACTTATTAACAAAACAGTTCAGTATTCAAAAGTGGAAAATAGATCCAAACAGTAAAACTACGCCCTATAGTATATAATACTTCCAAGAGACTATCAATTGAAATTCTCTTTTCGTCTTTCAGTGCCGCTTGTTCAATAAACTAGTTCATTTTTTTTCTCAGATGCCACGGTAACGAATCCTGCAGTATTGGTTCTTTGCATACTTTATTACCACACAATTCAAGCTAATTGAAATGTCCCAGACTCGAGCACGCGGTGTTTTAGTTTCATTTTTTTTTATTCAGTTCAATTCGAGAAAGTAAATATAATAAGGTTGGAATCTTATTCATAAACATAACAGACTTTTTCTTTCCCAGTTGGATGTCGTCTCATTCCTTTATCAGTTTAGAGTTGCGCCCTGAAAGAGGACTGAGAAGCCTTTGAAATGATTGTTTTATCAATATTTGTCATTTTCCTGTGATGAAAAATTTAGGGTGCTTTGGTAAAAGATGAGAGTTGGCTCGTTTAAATTCCTCAATACAATATTTTGCACCGTATGTTTAGGCGTAAACGCTTTGAATTTTATATTTAATGCATCAATACACGGAGAAAGTACATTCCATTATCTTTGTATTGTCATAGAGAACAACATTTTTTCTCATATTAATGATAACAGAGAATGTCGCTTACCTTGAAAAGGAATAACGGATGGTAAACACGCAGTTATCCCTTAGAGCCCCCGCACTCACCAACGTCAAGGAGACTTGATTATTAGCCCTCAGAATCTTTTAAGCCTAAAAGATATATTATTCGCCTCTGCTCAATAATGAGTGTCCTCAAACATTTCAGAATGATGTGTAGAAATAATTAAGAAAAGCCCTCCAGAAATTAGATCGGCACTTTGCGTCAAATCGTTGCTAAGAAGCTTAGTTTCTTAATGCATAGCCTTTGTGCATTGAAATTTGAGTCCGAGATAAGTCCTTGATAAAATTGTTTTAACTATGGTGTCGTGACCAAATATTATGAATTTAACATGTTGATGCATTAAGGACATTAATTTTTTATCAGCTTAGAGAACGGAAATTGCCCGAACCTCCTTATGAGGTTTCTATTGTAGGAAAGGCGCCTCGTGGACGCAAATTACAACCGACTGAGAACACCTGTGCGGCTTGAAGATAATTAAGTCCTGAAGATTCCACTTCTCAAAGCAGAAACGAAGTGCAATCGGTCAAGCAATTTAAAAGTTTTTCTCTTACTATTTATTTCAAATCACCTTTATCTCAACTCAGTTATCAACAATGGAGTGAAGAGTTGTCTCCAATCACTTATCCAGAGTTACCCTCGTGATTACGTCCTTGTCCAAACTTACATGAACGCTCTCAATTTTTTATTTCTTATAGCCTGAAAGACTACTCCAGCCTTCTGCACAGAATAAAGCAAGTACCCGCACGACATTTTGCACACATTTTTTTTTTGATCCCTTTCAGGGGACCGAAAAACCCCAAAACCGCGGAGAGAAAGTAGAAACGAAGTAGAATTCGACCATCATCGTGTTAAAACAAATACACAGGTCTTCTATGGATAGCAATCATGGGTGATATTTGAAAACTAAATCCTAAAATTGATGGTCTGGTCTGTTGCAAAGCAGCCGTAGTTAGTTAAAAATTTTCCAAAACCTATTTTGAGATTTAAGCAAATTAAACTTACTCTACGCAAATCTGGAGCTGATAAATATAAGAAATGTGGTCCTCAATCACCTGATTGTTACCGAGTTAAAAATGCTTTCTTTCATGAACGTATTATAACTATGATACGATACCGATTATTTACTTTAAGCCAATGTATAATGATTAACATGAAAAAAGAACATCATCATTTCTATTCTGGCTCCTCGCAAGCAATGAATTCAACAAAATTCAGGCCCGAAGTTAAAGTTAATCTGTTTGCGATGTTCGCCAACCAATGGCGAAGATACTTATATCATTAATTTGAAAATCAAATTTTATCGGTATAAATTATTAGCTTTTAGGCTAAATTGGTAAATTTTGACTTCAAAATTACGAAAGCTAATTTAAAATCAGCTTTTAGGAGTACGAAAAGTTTTGAGTTTTGATAACGTATCCCTCTCGTTTTTCCATTGTCCATTGCCTAACTAAAGACACTCGTACATAAGTTAAGGAAAATTTAATCAAAATTAATTAACAAATTGTCTATTCCATTTGTGCACTGTTGTATAATTTTAGACTGGGGACTTCGAGTTAATATTGATGATTTCATAGTAAACAAGATTCCATTATTCGAGAACGACATACAAACTTGAGTGCAGAGATGAAGCTACAATTCGAATTTAAGTTCAGGATCAGGCCAAGTAAATTGCAGAAAAAGTCTACGGAAATGCAACAAAATGTTTAAATAACAGAACATTTTTAATTACTTACCACTCAGATATGCACGAACAATTCGGCGACTGTGAAGTTCATTTAAGTTAATGACGCTGCAAATGTGACAGGTTCTTTTTTGTCATCTAACGTGTTCAAGTTCTTTTATCCTCTCGTTCCTTAAATTTATGATGTAGGTTGCTCGCAAATCATACCACCTAAGAATTTCTGGTGTGTCTTCCAACCCTTTATCACCACAATATGATATAATATGGTTTGGTTTGTTTTAAAATGCAGCAGTAGTTTTGCAATTTAGAGACTGATTTTACTACTATTTAGATACTGATGTTGTACTCACATTTAGAAGTGTTTTTTCCAGGCTTTGTTTTACTAATTAGTTCGGTAACAAAAAGGAGAAATCGATCCAAACATAAGATTAACCTTTTAACAAATAATCACCCTTCAAGTTTTCAGAAACCCATTTACCATTTAAAAGAATTTCTTGTCCGATTGCAACAAATTCAACATTTTGACCGGCTCAAAATTTTAGCCACGGTGGCGGTATGGTTAACACGTAAAGAAATAATTATGCAGAGGTTTAGATAGTATAAAAAGAAATAGTAAGAAAAAACTAAGTATTAAAACTGATTATGTGGTCCATTTAAGCAACTTTGCCGTCAACAATTCAGTAAACACTAATTCGAGAGTCGAGAAAAACTTATCTTATAAAGTCCGAGGATTCAGAAATATATTTAGGAGATGCGGGTAAACGGAGATTCTTAAGGAATAGAAATGTTCCTGGCAGTGCATCAACAATGTTCGTCTCTTACCCTTAAGATGCCAAAGTTCTCTTTGCGCCTAACGTCTACTGTGTCAGTGATGCTCTATTTTATCCTCTTATCACAGTATTTTCACCTTAATCTGTTGCCTGAAATTTGCGAAAACACAACATCATCAGCAGTGTGAGTATACAGTTTATAATGCTTTAAAGAAAAATATTACACCTCTACGTCGCGTTAGATTATCTTAGTTTTTAATAGCTGTAAAGAAAGATAAAAGCGAAGATGGCTTTGCCAAATTGGCTGACTCCAATTTTAATGCTGTTGTTCTATACATATTTGGAAGTTCAGTTCAGCGACCAAAAGGGTAAAATGGATCAAAACATAACGCTCGCCCTCAGACAAATAATCACCCCTCAATCGTTCAAAAACGTATTTATCATTTAAAGGAATTTCTTGTGCGATTGCAACAAATTAAAAAATTTTGCCTGTTTTTGAGGTAAAGGGAAAATACATCTTACTGGTGCCATAATATTAAGTATCTCATAAATAAATAATCATGCAGAGGTTTACAGAGAATAAACAAAGCAGTAAGAAAAGTAAATATTAAAACTGGTTATGTGGGCTGTTTAAAAGAAAATTACCGTAAAAAATTTCTTGAACCCTCTTTCCAGAGTGAAGAAAACCCTATGTAGTTATAGGAAGCAGAAATACGTTGAGGAGATGCAGGAAATGTAGATTCTTAATTTAAGGAATAGAAATTGGCTTCAAGCCATAGTAATAGTTAACACGTAAAGAGAACTTCCTTGTTCTTGTTTGGGCTCCTTGTTGTGGGAGGTGAGCAGAGAGGATAATATTAAGAAAAATATTCAACAAAATACGTACCAGGTGTTATGCAACATTATTCTTCCTTTCGCAATACCGCTGGAAAATGATGTAAATTTCGACTAAATGGTCTAAATTAGCCATTTTTAATAATATATTCCTTAAGTCTCCACGATCCAGTGTTAAACCAAGGATGTATTATCAACGATAGGACTAAGATCATATTTGGCTACGGACAATTATATTTTAACCTTGAGGAACGTTTTATAGTTTTTGACTCAAAACTTCCTCAGTCATCGAAGAAGACATTAGCTATTATTAATGATTTTCATGGTATCCATTTTTCAAAGTAAACAAACGTAAATTGATAAATTTTATGGCTTTACGTCAGTAAGTGTTTTCAGTATGATTTTTACGCATTATTGACCAAATAAACAATGTATATAAATCCTTGCCCACTTCGTTTTAAGTTGACAGGCATGACAGGCACTAAAAGGTATTGATGACTTTTATTTGAACACAAAACGTTGGTAATAATAGAAGCCCGTTATTCATTTTTCTGGGTCACTCTTTCATCCGCGACGAAGTTTAGAATTTTCAAATTGCTCGTAATATAGTTAAACCTTCACAAAGTCTGACTTACTACTGAAATTTGGCACAACAATTGTGAAAAAAAATATTATTTGAGTTGAATAAATAT